TTCCAAATTAGAGCTTGTCATCCAACAGAATTTTCTGCCACGAGGGTCATGTCCACACTGTCCAAAACATGTATGCCCTAGACATATGTGTTATCTAAGCTCCTAAAAAGTCACTGGGATAATCACAGAAATGATTTTTTTTTCATATTATTCAACTTAATAAATTTAAAAGCCATGTATGGCTAGTGGCTATCATATTGGACAATGCTGGTAGAAAGTAAATCTATGTTCTTTGTTTAGACATCCAAATCCCATACAGCTTGCCCCCAGCCAACTGATATGGCTTCAATTTCTACAACATAAACACTGACTCTAAGAGAACCTGACCAATCCACTGCCTCACCTTGGATCATGATGCTTAGGCATCATTGCTAAGGGTACCTTCTATTCTTGGTGTTATGTTTTTGAATTCTACCCATACTTTATAGCACAGGTCAAGTTCTACCTGTGCTAAAGCACCATTCCTAGCAGTCTTCTCCAAAGTGCTGTGTAAGTAAAGGGTTAGTAAACCTCAGGGTTGGGCCTGTCTAGGAAGGACCTGTCTCCCACAGGGTTGTTTTCTTGGAAACTGTAATGTGGAACTCCACGTGGTCTGCAGAACCTGTGACTTGGCATTAAGCCCACATGACTAGAATGGTACAAAAGGTTGCTGGGAAAGAGGCTGTACCTTCTCTGTATCAGAGACACACCCTTACCTCAACTCTCACCTGTGGCAGCTGTGCATGCCCCATGTGGATCAGAGGCAAAAAAGCTGTGCCCTAGAATAGAAGACACAGACACACCCACCTAAATTCAGTTATCTCATACTTGACAAAGGTACCATAAACATACACTGGAGAAAAGATAGTCTCTTCAACAAATGGCACTGGGAAAACTAGAAATCCATATGTTGCAAAATGAAATTAGACTCCTGTCTCTCACCCTACATAAAACTCAACTCAAAGTGGATCAAAGACATAGGCATTAGATCAGAGACCCTCTGCCCACTAGAAGAAAAAGTAGGCATAACTCTGCATCATGTCAGGAAATAATTTCCTCAATGAGACTCCTAAAGTCTTAGGAATAAAATCAAGAATCAATAAATGGGGCTGGTATCAAACTAAAAAGCTTCTTCACAGCAAAGAAAACAATCAAGAACGTGAAGAGAAAGCCTACAAAATGGGAGACAAATCTTTGCCACCTGCACCAGATACAGCATTAATCTCTAGGATATATAAAGAACTTAAAAAACATCAACACATACATACACACACACACACACACACACACACACACACACACACACCAATCAATAAACGAGCATGGGAACTGAATAGACACTTCACAGAAGAAGAAATGTGATTGGTCAACAAATATATGAAAACATGTTCAACATCTTTAGCAATTCAGTGTAGTTTTAATTTGCATTTCTCTAATTGCTAGAGATGTTGAGCATTTTTCATATATTTGTTGATCAATCACATTTAATGCTAAGTGAAGTTAGCCAATCTCCCCAAAACAAATGCCAAATGTTTTCTTTGATATAAGGAGGTTGACTCATAGTGGGATAGGGAGCGGGAGCATGGGAGGAATAGACGAACTCTAGATAAGGAAGAGGGGTTGGAGGGAAAGGGAGGGGGCATGGGCCTATTAATGATAGTGGAATATGATGATCATTATTATCCAAAGTACAGGTATAAAGACACGAATTAGTGTGAATATACTGTGTATACAACCAGAGATATAAAAAATTGTGCTTATATGTGTAATAAGAATTGTAATGCATTCTGCTGTCATATATAAATAAAAAAAAAACTATATTGAGATTTCATCTCACTCCAGTCAGAATGGCAATTATCAAGAATACATGTAACAATAAATGTTGGTGAGGATGTGGGGGAAAAGGACACTCATACATTGCTGGTGGCTCAGCAGATTGGTGCAATCACTCTGGAAAGCAGTGTGGAGATTCCTCAGAAAACTTGGAATGGAACCACCATTTGACCCAGTTATCCCACTCCTCAGCATATACCCAAAATACTTATACTTAAAATCAGCATAGTATAGTGAGGCTGCCACATCAGCATTTATTGCAGCTCAATTTACAATAACTAAGCTATGGAACCAATCTAGGTATCCTTCAACAGATGAATGGATAAAGAAAATGCAGTAGATATACACAATGGAATATTACTGAGCCATAAAGAAGAATGAAATCATGGCATTTGCCAGTAAGTGGATGGAACTAGAGAATATCATTCTAAGTGAAATGAGCCAATCCCCAAAAAAACATTTGCTAAATGTTCTCTCTGATATGTGGATGCTAACTCACAATAAGCAGCAAGTGTGGCGGGGGGTGGGGGGGTCAGAGAGAATAGAAATTCACTAGATTAGACAAAGGGGAAGGATGGTAAAGGCAATAGAATGAATTGGACATAACTTTCGTATGTTCATACAGGAATACACGACCAGTGTAACTCCACATCATGCACAATCACAAACAGCTCACAGTGACTGTTCTCCTGCAGCCATCTTGAGTATCTGATGATTAATTCCTTAGCATGAGTACCTAGAGAGGGATTTACTGGCCCCAAAATTACATACATTTAAAATTTTAATAACTGCCTTCAGACTGTTCTCTAGAAAAACTGTACCAATTTACATGACTGATTAGCTTTAAATGCATGCACTTCTAGCCACAGTTTTTTTTAAACTTAAGTTTAGAATAGATCAAATTACTAGAGATTAAATTTCCCACTCAAAAGGAAAGAAGGTGCCTCAAACCCCACTAGCCCTCTAAATGGGACAGAAGAGAAAATGTAAGTATGTTTGCACATGCGCAAAACAAGCTCACATTGTCTACAGGACAGAAACTTCAGGGTGTGTGATGCTGACAGAGCCCACAGAAATCCCAGAGGGTGCTTCCAATTCTGTCTCCCCAGCAACTACATTTGCCATCTAGTTCTTCATAAGAAATGGGCAATTACCTTGTCTGAGTTTTACCAAAGTTTCTAGTCTATTCAGCCATCAATATGACATTCATGTGAAGACCCCAAAATCTTCCATTTCTCCTAGGGGGTTTTATTATAGATAATTTGGACAAAGTGAATCTGGCTTCTTTCTAATATGTGGTCCATTCCTAAAGAAAGGTTCATTATCAACTTTTACGTGTATATATTTTTAAACACTTGTTTGGGGACACAATATCAATAAACAATTTTTATATAGTATTGAGGATCAAACCCAGTGCCTCATGTGTGCGATGCAAGCACTCTACCACTGAGCTACAACCCCAGTCCCTCAACTTTTATATTACCAAAGAATTATGTTATCAACAAATCAGCCATGAAGGGATCTACAGACCAAGACAAAGAACTGTGACATAGAAAATCAGAATATTCTATAAAACCACATATTCAAAATAATTCAAGAGTAATGAAGTCATATTGGATTGGAATCAATTTTTTATATGCCAATTTTGGGGGCAAATAAAAAAGATAATTTGGAAGTGTTTAAAGTTGAATTAAAATTAAATATCCATACTTTTCTTTGACACTCTGATTTTTAATATTTGAACCATTCATTTGAAAGGATCTTACTCAGACAAATTGTATTTATCTTCCTAGCCAAAGAAGACCCTGAGGGCATTTGTTTTCCTAGCTCTTTCAAGACTTCTGTGTGGCCCCCAAAGATTGATCAAGTTTAGATGTCATTGGTTCACTTGTTTCCAACTCTGCTCACAAACCAAACATGAATGATCACCAGCCATTTCCTATGAGGTACAGCTTGTCATCTAGGAAGTCTAGTGCAAAGTCCCTGCAGTATCTTCCTCACTAATCATTCCCCACTTCCTGCCACACACCCACACAGACGTACATGATAATGCCATCAGTTTTTAATTATCCAAGCTCAAGAAGGGAGCAAATAATAACGCCTATTCAAAAATGTAGGTAAAACAATCCACTGTGATTTTAATTTGGACCACATTATGTGGAGGAGTCAGGAGTGGGTCACTGGAGGACAGCCAAGTGACCTTCCTACTTAAGATATTTCTTGGGTGCTTACATTTGCTGTCCAAGGTTGGAACGTGTGGATTTGCTCAACAAACCAATGAAAGGAAATTCTCCTGCAAGGACTACATGAAGGGAGAGACCAAATGCTATGTGAAGACGAATTCCCTCAATTTCCAACAGAAAAACTGAAAGGAACACCTTCAACACTATGTACCAACATCTTCACTGACTTCAGACAAAAATCTAAATAGTGCCAGTTCCAACACAGGTAGCTCTTAGAAGAGGAAAACACACATTTTGGTATCTTTACCAATCCATATTTTGTCAGTTTTTTGGTACCTACATTTAAAGAGAAGACTAAAAAGAACTAAGTATCCTATAGCAAAACTGGTCAATTTTGTCTTCCACTAATTAAGGATCTGTTTACTATCATCCACCTCATAGTATGGTTCTGGGACACAGATAAGCCAGTACATCAGTATTCCTTCCAACAGTGCCTGCAAACATATATATTTCATAAAATGTCAGTTATTATAATTAATTTTTCAGCAAAAGACCCTCATACTCGGGCTTTTACAAAACACTTCCATTAGCACAAAATCATCTGATCCACTCAACCTGAGGAGGTAGGTTTATGATTCCCACTCTATAGATACAGAGCCTGAGCCTCAGGGAGTCCTATGATTTACCCATCATCATGAAGGGTTAACTCTAAGCCAGGAAGGTCAATCTTTCAGCTTCGAGTCTAAGACATCCTTCTCTATAACCCATAGCTCAGAGCCCCACACTATTAGACTGACCACAAATGTGTTTCAATTCCATCCAAAGGGAAGGCAGTCAATATTTTCATTTATTATTACATATCAAGATGCTGTGCTCCTTTAACCCAAGATACTACAGTGCTTAGTGAGAGTAGCATCGGGTCTCCTCTGTGGCTGAACCACAAGAGAGTCTGCAGTTGCAGGAGCTGCAGCTTCAGAAACCTTCGTTAACTGGCTTATTACCTACCTTAGGCGTCTCAGCTTCTCCCTGCAGTCGCTTGGGGGTTCCTTTTTGGTCAGGCACCTTCTGGAAATTTTTGCTTTTAATGGATTGAGATTCCACACCTTCACCTTCAATTTGCAGTTTAATACCTTCAGCACGGGAAGGGTGATCAATACCCCGTGGATTCAAACCACAGTGGAGAGCTAGGAAAGAGGGACAAATAGGACTCAGAAAACAACTCACATAAAGAAAGTGTCCAAGACAGAAAGTATTTCATCAGGCCTAAATGGGAAGCAAAAAGACATCTGAGAGTTAAGACGTAGTGTGATAACTGTGGGAAGTACCAGAATGAAGAAGGAGTATGGGGCAGTAGGGAACCCTGAGCTTGAAAATCAGGGAGACTTAAGTGCAACCAGTTGCAAGTTGAGCAAGTTAGCAATCCTCACATTTCTGATGAGAATCCCAAATTAGGCAGCTTCATGACTGCTTCCAATACATTCAATTATTGCATTTAGCTTATATCTCTGCCTACATCTGAAAAGTGCTCATTCCTGTCCCTTTCTGAATCTTCTGTATTCTCCAAATATCCACTTAAGTCTCTTCCTTTCAGTCAACCAATATTTAATGAGCATTTACTATGTGCCAATCCTGGGGCAGGTCCCGGAACCATGCACTTAAGTAGGACAGAAGCTATCCTCAAAAAACTCACAAGCTAAGAGGAGGCAGCAAAAAGAACTAGTGATTTTTTTAAAACAGTCATCACTGCTATGGGAAAGAGAAGGAAAAAACCAGAGTGAAGAGATCAACAGAGACAAGCCCCAGTGGCTTCCATTTTTTTATCTTACTCTCCCCACATCCTTTAACATGCATACCCTCACAAACAAAACCTAAAGTTTATTTTCTGGGATATTTATTCACTCAACAAATCTGTATTTATCTCCTCCTGTGTTCTCAGTATTATCAAAGAAATAGCAGTCAATGTTACAAGAACCATACATGACTCGTGTGTGTGTGTGTGTCCAAGTTCATGTGACAGGAATGTGTGTTTTGAGGTCTACGAGAAAGTATTTTGCCTCTGTATGACCCCAACCCTTCAAATTTCAGTTCCCATCCTCATCCCCTTCCCTTTGACATCAGATAATTTAAGGTCAAATACTTAACCACCCCCCCACACACACACACACTTACACACATACCACCACACACACACCCTCTCCCTCAAGACTGATTTGTTGGTAATCTCATTTTACCCAGTATCTTTGGCCCCCTCCTTCCTCACCATTCTTCCCCTTATCCATCTTCTAAGATTCAAAGTCCTGGGTGAGGATTTTGGGTACCCAGGCCTCCTCTTCCCCTGGCTTCTGAAGAACGTTTCACCTTGAGGGAAGGCTTCCCAAAGTCAGGAAGGACCCTTTCCCTTCCATTCTCCACTTCCTCCTTAACAGAGGCCATCTCTCCCCATGGCTCTTGATGCAATGAATGTGCAGGTGACTCCAATTTTCACTCCAGCCTGAACAGACCTGATGAGTGCTGCTCAGTCTCTATGTCAACACATGGCAGATGCCTCAAACTTAACATAATCTAAACTGAACTTTAGTTATTGTACAAAAAAAAAATTGCTTTCTCCAGCCTTCTCCATTTATACGCACAGAAACTGAGGAGCCATGGAGAATCAGCACACGACACTCTCGCCATGTTTCACCACATCCTCTCCTTCAATCACTACATTCAGGAGCTCTGCACCCAAAGTGCTGCTCAGATCCATCGCTCCCACCATCTCCACCACCACTGTCGTCCTGGCCCAAACTACCCACCTTTCACATCCAATCTGCCAAACTAATCCAAGAGCTCTTCCTCAACCCTGAAGATCCATTAAAATTAACTGTGAAGGGAAGTGGGGGAAAGACTCTTCTGCTTAAAACTTCCTAATGGTATGGCTTCATACTTTTATAATTCCAAAATCTTAAACTTGGCCAGCAAGGCCCTCATTATCTGTCTCCTTTTTATCTTTCCAACTTCCATCTTCCACCATGCTATTCCTCATCATATGCCTCCTTTTTGCTTCACCAAGTTCCTTCTCTCCTCCTAGACTTTATACATATTTCCTTGCCTGGAATGTTGTTCCCTATTCTTCACCTAATTCCTACTTGTCATTCGGGGTTTGGCTTACATGCAGATCCTTCAAAAACTCTTTCTCTTTGTCCCCTTTCTCATCCCAATCTTCCATCTTCCCCATGTTAGGTCATGTTCCTGGAATAGTAAGCACCCAACAAATACGATCTTGAAACGAAATCTAAATAAGAATGAGCTAAAATAAACATGGATTGTACAGAGGTTCTTCTGCAATGTGATCTTATTTCTACCATAAAGACATTACCTGTGAATTTCTCTTCTCCTGATCTCTAAGCTTCCTAAAGCCAAAGATCAGCCTACTTTGTGGTACACATTAAGTACTAAGTATGTATCAGTTTGTGTGGCCTCCCTCAAGTTAAACTTGCTGGCCAAGTTTAAGTTTTCTTTGGGGAAAACTCTGTGACTCGATTATATTAATTTCTCAGATAAGGGAAATGAGGCTCAAGGCAGGTTCTGGCCATAAAAGTCAACACAGGTGTCTATGGAAGGTCATAAAGATCATGGATCATTTAGGATGTACATGATTTCAAGTAAGAGATGAGCAAATTCAAACTGGATCAAACAGTGAGAAAATATATTAGTTTTCATTACAGGAGGTCCAGTCACAGCACAAGTGTAGAGTTGGTTGATTTGTGGCTCAATAGTGTCATGAAGAACCTTGGATTTTTCTTTTTTCCATCTCTCTCATGTTGCTACTCAGAGAACCACCTTTATCCTAGACTTGGAGGCCCTTAGAGTACTCAAGAGTTACAAGCCTCTGGTTTTTATCTTGCAACAAAGACAGCCTGTCTGATCAAGGTCTTGTTTTCCCTAAACCTCCTCCAATATCGCTTCTTTTCTCATTGGCCAGGAGTAAATCACATGATCATCACTGAACTAAAACCCAGGCAGTGAAGACAGGGTTACTCCTAAACCAACTGACCTTTAGCTAGGGACAATTCTCCAAAACACATTGCCAATACTCAATAGGGCCGGGGCAGAATCAATGCCAGGGAACTAAACTACAATGTCCAAATTAGGCAGTGGTGGAAAGAACTTGGTAGCCAAAACCTGTAAAAATATGAGGTCAATCACTGTTTTTCCAAGTCAAGGAGTGGCCTAATTACGATCCATATTCAATTAAACATACAAAATCTTGATTAATTTTAAAAGGTGCGCTTCTGTAGGGAGATGGCAGATTGGCAAGGGAAAGATTTAGACATTAAAGAGGAAAAGAAAAATGTCTGCTGTTCATCTTTCTCAACGGTATTAACCCTGATTGCTTTCTGCCTGAGAATCAGGGGCTAAGAATACCAGGGAACTGCTGGTAACTTCCAATACCTCCTCTTCCCTTCCCCCATCACCCTTCATCAAAGCAGACTTATATACTTCCTTCACCTCTGGCAATGCTGGTCCCTCTCCCTAAAAGAGGTTCCATCCCACTGTGATCACTCCGCAGTTCCACCTGCCATGCACCTGGTTTCCAATTTTTTTTGTACATAAAAAAAGGTGGCACCTTCAAGATGACAACTCAAAACAATGGCTAGAATACACACACACACTACACACACTTGCAGTGAAATATTTTACCTCAATGTTTATAAAGCAATGTTGTAAAATCTGTTTTGGATTTTAATTTTAATTCCACATTTGTATGAATTTAATGTTTTTGGTTTTTTTTTAATTTTTATTGTTGGTTGTTCAAAACATTATATAGTTCTTGATATTTCACACTTTGATTCAAGTGGGTTATGAACTCCCATTTTTACCCCATATACAGATTGCAGAATCACATCAGTTACACATCCACTGATTTACATATTGCCATACTAGTGTCTGTTGTATTCTGCTGCCTTTCCTATCCTCTACTATCCCCCTGAATTTAATGTTAGTGACCTTTGAACTGAGTCACACTGGAAGCAATTCAGGTACAGATCCCAACTCAGCTGCAGTGCCAGTTCAAGTTCAAGAACTAGAACTCTGGTAGGCACAAGAGTGACTGGGAAGATGAGGAGAATGTGGAGAGGGTTTTGAAGTTGACCCATGAGGGATTGAGCCCACTAAATTGAGTAAATAGCTAGAGTGGAAACAAGAAAGTGTAGTGATGAGGACAGAAGAGATGGGGGCATCTTTGACATGATGAGCAAAGAGAAGAAGGTCACGCCCTACAAGAAGCCATTGGAGAGTTGCTTGGTTTTAAAACATTAGAGACATGAAATTTCAGGGAAAACAAAACAAAGGGGGTGAGAAACGTTTTAAATAACCAAGTCTAAGCACAAAAAACCTAAATCAACTACTGGGCTTGCAGTCACAGAGGGAATAGTGATGGAGGATTAAGATATTTCTGTGAAGAATAAGGCAATGTGTGCAGGAGTCAAAAATCATCATTCTGCCTGTAATTCCAGTGGCTCAGGAGGCTGAGGCAGGAGGATTGCAAATTCAAAGCCAGCTTCAGCACAAAGTGACGTGCTAAGCAATTCAGTGAGACCCTGTCTCTAAATAAAACACGAAATAGGGCTCAGTGGTTGAGTGCCCCCGAGTTCAATCCCTGGTACTCCCACCCCACAAAAATCATTATTCTGCCTCCCAGTTTTAGATATCTGACATTTTTGAGCACCAATTTTTTACTAGCAGGAAAGTTCCTCCCAATATAAAGCAAGATTGTGGGAAGAGGGGATTTCTGTTTCATTCTGCATTGGATCAAAGGTTCCTTAAATGCCTATTACATGCCAGGTTCTCCTTAAATGACTTTTACTCCAGGTTCTTGGAGTAATAGGCATTTAAGTGGAGTGGAGACCAAGCAATGAGTAGGAGATGGTAACTGCCCTCCAGGAGCTTACAACTCTGGTGGGGAGGCAGGTGGATCAATTTGGTGGGCGTTCTCAATATTTAAGTAGGCTGAGGCACCTGGGCATGGTGAGCATGAGACAGTACAGGCTAAAGGTTCTTGACCTGGTAGCCAGAGACTCCTAGAAGGCTTTCCAAGGAAGAGATCTGAGCTGACACATGAAGGGTGTAGGTGTTCGTTTCCTAATAAAAGGAAATAGAACTGGGGTAGAGCAGAACTTTTTAAGAAGAGAGATCAGTTTGA